GCAGGAATGACCCATCAACAACCAGTGTTTGGACAAAGAACCGTGTGATTAGCAGCACTGCCAAGCTAATGAAATCTAAATTTATATAGCACTTTAAAAACAACAGTTTGCTGACCAAAGTACATCACTTAACCCATACTAACATAGAATAAAATTAAAAGATTCAGACAATAAAACACTGTGTTCCTGACCTCCAGACTCCAGAGCATAGTCGGCCAGGCCGGTTCGGTCCTGAGAAAACAGCCGCAGAGCGTTTTTCACAATCACATGGACGTCCTGCAAGAGACGAATGATTCCAGAGAACAGACTGTTGAACTGTCAGGAGCTGGGAAGCATGTTGTAACTTTACTCTTTGAAGGATAATATGCACATGTACATACAGACATGGGTGTATTTAATGAAGACCAACTGGAGAAAATTTAACCAGTTCATAACACGCACTGTTCATAGGCCATTTCCCCTGTTTCTAAGCTAACGTGTTGCTGGCTGTAGCTTCAGAGGTGAGTGTGGGAACAAGATGTAAATAACCCTTTAGCCAACATGTCGTCTGGAAACAAACTCTCAGCCTCAAGAAAGAACTTTAGTTATTTTAACTACATTTAAATCTGTGCTCACACTCATTGTCCTCCTGCAGCCTCCTAACAGTCAAATAAATACCCCCTCCTCACCTCCTGGGTCACGGCGGTCGCAGCGGCCTGCAGGACAGGCTCTCTGACCATCTCATTGCTGCGTTGCTGCCCCAGCTGCAGGCTGATGTTCTGCAGGATGCTGAACTCCAGGGTGGCCAGTGCCGTCTGCAGGTCAGCCCCACTGACATACTGCTGCGAAAGCCACTGGAGGAGCGATTCTGGCGGCCTGGTGTTCTCTCCAGAGGCCCCGCCCCCCACTGTCAGCTGGTTCCCATAGACTAGAGCCCGAACCTCCTCACGGACCCGAGTGGAAACCTGCACTGAAATCTAACAGACAGGAGGAAGGGTTGGGGCAATAAAGCTCCATGTATCACAGAGGGGAATGATGGTGTGAGCAGCAAACTGCATCAGAACGCCTTGACCTGGAAATGTGCTGGGCTTGTGCAGACATCAGTGCTGATTACATCAATCAAACTATACAGAGCAATTTGACCAGCAGCTTTAGATAAAAACTTTTCTGCTGCAGCTTCACACATCAGCTGTGACTGGGCAGTCCGAGTCATTTATCGACTTTTCCTTCTTCCAACAGGTAGATTATGCAACTCCAAACCACATTAAGCACAACCGGTGCTACTTTTCTGTGATCAAACACAAATCCTCTGTACACCAGCTAAAAACTGACAAAGTAACAGAGGCTACAGAAAAGCGACATCAGCTGTGGCTCAAATCACTCCCCATTCGCTACATGTTTTAGTCAAAGCATTTCCTGCTGCCACTTCACATTAAAATATTTACTTCAATGGATACCCAGTAAGAGATTTTTATTGTGAAGGTACCACAGGAAGTGTTCTTGTCACTGAATGTCAATGAACACAATTTGTGCTGCTATCCTTGAATAGAAATGTGTATATTCATCACAATAGGGATGTGTTCTGCACAGTGGGGTACAAATGTGACACCACATTTCAAGAAGAGCCCACCAACGGTGCTACTCTCATCGTTTCCAGATTTAGTTTAACATTCAGTCATTCATTTTCTCTCACCACCTGCTGGATTGTGTCGAGCTGTCGGCAGCCGTCCTGAAACCCAGAAACACCATCAAGGTCCCGCTTGACATCCTCCAGAGCTGCCTTCAGCTGTGCAACCTCCCTCAGCAAGGCATCATGGGACTGAAGGTCCACACTAACACTGGAGGAAGTTAGTGAAGATAAACACGTTTTACGGCAACCTGTGCAAAGCTCTACACAGTGAAGGTGCTGACGGTTACCTGTCAGCAGCTGGGAGAGTTGTTTCTGAAGGTGAGACAGTTGTAGCAGCTTCTCGTTTCCACTGCACCTCCTGAAGGTTCAGAAACAAACATTGAAGTGTTTCTGACAAATAATCTCACCACAAGGTCCATAACTGTGAAGTCACAACAGTCTGCAGTGAAATACAGTGAAACCTTGGGCACAGCTCGAGCTTTAATAGAAGAGGTTTCAAGAAGCACAGATGTGCTCACCTCTGTCCTGGCAGCCAGCGTCTGCAGCTGCAGCTCCAGCTGATCCAGACGAGATGCTTGACTCTGCTGCTGCAACATATCCTGTTGTTGAATCTACAGACACAGCAGGATGAAGGAAACTGATGTTAACGATGATCACAGTGAACTCCAGGCAGAGTCCCATCATCCTCAGTGATCCGCTCAAGCTGTGAAGTATTATGGTTCATCATCCACTAGAACCTGCAAAATGAAGCTTTGTTTGCTTCTGACTTCTTATTAGTGGTTGTCCATGTGGTAGCAAGTTCAACCAACATGACTGTTCTTTTTCAGATGGTTTCTTTACCTAGATAATTTGTCTGCAGGCCTGTAAATCCCTGATCATTCCTGACAAGATTTCCTGGAGAGAAATGTGTAATTTGGCAGAAAGAGGCAAACTACAGACAGCGTTCTCTTCAGAACTGAACATTTACTTGGTTTTCATCCGATACATTGGATGTCAACAGAAAGTGTTATATGGATTCATTGCCTTATATGAGCTACAACTGGAGCCTGGTTTTGTCTGTATAAGTTTACATGGGCTCAAACCGGGACAGTTATGAGCAGCAGAATGAGTAGTGAGCAGCTGCTGTGTGCAGTGGACCCAGCTGTCACTGAACTACTGTGAGAATGAAGGACACTTAAACAAGTTGTGCAGCTTTGGGAAACATCTTTTCTATAATTCAGGATTGATGGGTATTTATTCTTTGTTCACAGACAAGGTGTAAGTCACACTGAGAAGAAAAAATGTGTCCTATCTGTTAGAACCCCACGACCAATTACGATTAGAGATGCCAAGTGGTTTAAAGTACCATCGTCTCCTCCCTGATCTGTGTCACAGCCTCTGCTACAGCTGCTACTTATAGAACACCTGCACACACCTGTGCCTCTCACCCCACACTGCATCTCCCTCTGTACCTCTGACTGAAACCCTCTGGTTTCATTTAAGCAAACACCCACTTCATTCTGTCCATTTTCCAAATATTTAGAAACTTTTTAGAGTGGACCAGTGAAATACCGTAAATTATGACCAAATACTGCAGGAATTCAAATGCAAAGAAGCAAAAGTGAAAAGTAAAATAAATGCTATATAATTAATGTAGCAGAAACATGTTTCTTCTGCTTGTCCATCCAGTTACTGCCTTGTGAGCCCTAGGCAACATTGTGATATTTTTGCTCGGAGACCCAACCCTGACGTGTCCAGTTTCTGACCTGTTCCCGCTGCTGTCTTTCCTTTTCCAGTCGAGTCCAGAGCTCAGAAAGCTGTTTGTTCAGCAGGTGGCTCAGCCAGGGCTCCACGCCTCCCCCATGTCTCTGAGCAGAGACGAGCTGCTGCTGCTGGAGGTCAGTGTAGAGCTGGAGCACCTCCCTGTGTCTTTGCTCCGCTCGCAGCCCATCAGCCTCCACACGCTCCCACAGCGCCCTAAGACTTTGCTCCACACGTGCGAGCCGGGCCTGCTCCAATGGCTCTTCCTGAGGAACAAGAGTTTAGACAACTTTTACATTACATGTGGACTAAAGGGATCCCAAAAAATTAAAGGCCACAAAGCTGGTGAAATGAACATAACCAAGCTTATTTCAATTATTGGCCTGCAAATAACATCCAGCGGTTTGGTACAAAAATCTACTGTACTTTAATTCACAGATAAATCGTTTGCAGATAAAATGGTGGGAGAAGTCAATTTCAAATGTCTCGTTTTGTCCAAAACATTTTCAGTGTACTGTGATATAAAACAATCTTTTCATTAACTGACATGATTTGATTTCACTTGATCAGTGACTTGAGCTAAACAGCTATTCACTTTATTTCAATTCATTCGCATATGAAATATTCTCCACACATAAAAGCTGTACCCAGTAGAAAATACTAACAAGCAGCTAAAACCTTTGAGGCTTAGGCTGAATTTTCTTGAAGAACAATTTAACATTTTTTGAGAATCTAAAAATCATTCAAAGAAAATAAAACATGTTAAATACACAGTGCCTGCTCTTACTTTAGTACAAATACACACACTACAATAAAGTAAGGGTTTACCCAGCATCGGTACCTCGTCTGCTGTCGGTGTTTGAGCTTGTGGAGCTCGACTGTGGAGCGGCTCGAAGTAGGGGGGCGCCTCCTTCAACTCCTCCACTGCAGCCTCTGCCGACTGGCTGTAGATGAAGGACAGACCAGGGACGTCAGAAACCACCGTCCTCCACGCTGTGATGTTGACAGCTGGAAAGACGGACTGCAGACCAGCTGTACCAAACCAACACAGGCCTGAAGGGGAAACAATGAAACCTTGTGTTTGAAAGCTGCAACAATCACTTTAGCAATTATTACAAAACTGTGACGTCTTCAATGACAGCTCAAACTCATAATAAATCTACTGTAATGTTAATCAAGGAAAAAACCCTCACATTAGAGAGCTGTGAGCCAGTTCATGTTTTGCTTTGACAAATGGCTATTCGATTAACAAAGTAGCTGCTGATTTCTGCTGCAGCTCTGATGCAGACAAAAACTGTGCAGGGACTTACTGAACAGGAGCAGTAGAGGGAGGAGACCCAACAAGAACCTGCAGGACAAACGTGTCTGGTTAAGCCAACAAATGCACTAGTTTATACATGACAGCATCAATCACTTGTTGTTGTCGCTGAAAGTCTAATGACACCAGAAGGAAGATGCTTCGCTCCAACACTAAGGGCAGAATCAATGTCGAGCAGAATAAAACATCTAGAGACTGAGACGCGATGCCAAAGTGCACTACAGAAACATCTTTTTATTAACTGCAACTTGTCCCTGTCTAAATTAAACATGACTTTCAGACATGTTTTCAAACACACAAAAGTAATAACATGCATTTGACACTGTTTAATGAAATAAGAATGTGTCTACAGAAGCCACAAACACTAGTATGACCACATTATGTTGAGACCATGCCCCCCGGTGACTGGACATTATAAACTAATTTACCGAGTCAGGAGGAAGCCAGGGGTCGTGTGATGCCATCGCCTGCTCAGCCGCCTGAACGTCTCAGCTGCCGTTTCACCTACAAACACAAGGAAAGCGTCAGTGGCCAAAAGCAGACACAGGATCAGCAAAACTGACCAGGTGATTAACGGAAGCTTTTCACCAGCTGAGCAGGAGCCTGCAGGTCGCCCAGCAGGAGAGTGACAGCATCATGTTAGATAAATGAAGCATGATGGAGTTAGAGTATGACTGATAGACACAACAGACAGGAACACACCAGACGCAGTGCGAATGTGAAGGTTGAGCACCATGAACACAATGTAAAAAGACCTTTCCCACCTTTCTGGCATGTGACCTCGTGAGACAACCTCAGTGTGGATGCAGGTTATGAATAGAGCGCTCGAGTGTTTGAAGCCACTGAGAACCAGTGTCACCATCACAGAGCTCGTCCAGTGGAGAGCACTCCCAGGCTGGTTTTTACACTGTGAAACGTCACACTCACTACAAACTAGGTCACACACACAGAGCTGCAACTTCAGAGGACGTTCATTACCATTTAGTCTGTCGATTATTTTCTCGACTAAGTGATCCAATGTTCTGTCAGCAATCATTTCAGGCAGCAGTAAAAATTACAGCCCAAGGCAACGTGTTCTGGTGTTTATATAACCAACAGGCCAAAACCTAAAGCTATTCAATTTACAGTGATGTATGACAAAGAGAAGCAGCAAACTGCTGCTCATTTTAAATTCCCGAATGATGACACAGGACAGTTTAAATTTGTAAATATCCGTTGATGGAGTGCTCTGGTACAAATTACAAGGGGACTCAATAATAAATCACTGCCTCTGTGCATCACATGCTGATTTACATGATTCTGTGTGAGATGCAAATCTGCCGCAGCGGCGAGCAGGTGACAGGAACGACACACCTCTGTGAGCCCCTCTGAGGGCTTTCGAACCCTCAAACACTGAGGTCACATCAAATGCACTTCACACACATGCAATGATGCAGCAAAGCAAAAAAAATAATGGAGGTTACAGCACCACAAATCCAACACATACACCTGCATCCCAGAGGAGAGGATAAAGCAGAGGAGATTCTCATTATATCAAACCAAACAAACATGATGACACGACGTTAACCTGCAGAGCGTCCGATGCTCCAGGAGGCAGAAAGTATTTTCTTGGTGAGAGGCCAGAGAGCTGAAGCTGCACTCCGCGTCAGCTGAAAGAGACACGAAGCTGAGGAAGCAAAGAGGCAATTAAGACCAATTAACAAGAGGTTTGTACAAGTAAAAGTAAACTAAATGTCAACAGAAACATTCAGTGACAACTGGAAGTGTGGGGTGTGTGAGAATGTGAATGTTTCTCAGGAGCTGAAGACTGAGTGACTGTTAAAGATGCCTTCCCAACCCTCAGCAGCTCCACAGGACAAGCGTTTTTATTCTACTGGCATCTCACCATGGTCTACAAACAACTCCTCCTGTACCTTACACTGGCACTTTATGCAGCCCCTCAGTTCAGCCTCCGTCTGTTGAAGGTCGCTGGTTGTGGCTGACCAGGTAATACCTATTTAGTGGATGTGCCACATCTCAAACAGACATTTATGGATGTCCACAAAGAAAAATGAAGCATGTGGAGCAGGCTGAAACTGGAGTGTCTGCCTCTCAGAAAGAACAGTTACTTGTGTTTGCCTCCAGCTTTGGAACATAACTACACTGAACATGGACGTTCCTACATCCTAACAATGTATGAATTAGTGAGAAGTGATAAAAGCGCATGTTCCTTGCAAGTGAGCCATATTGTCTGTCAGCCCAGACTGACAACAACATAACACAGCATTCATGTTTTCCTAACACGAACAGGACACAGGAGTCTACCAGAAGTGTGTACCTGCACATGTGAAAACACTAACCACTGGTAACAGTCTGAGGTGCTGGGTCTGTTATTGAACCTGTGAAAACAGTCGCGCTCCACATCAGGCCCAAGACACAGGAAGCCACCGAGGACAATGACGATGAAGCGACAGCATCCATGTCCGAGCAGTGCTTCTTACAGTCACCACCTGCTGGTGTGTGTTTATCTAACAGACACACATCACAAGTCAGGAAAAGGTTAAGTGACAGACAGGGGGAGGCCAACGGCAGTAACAGGACTCAAGTTTAAAATCCATCATGATGGCGTGTGAGTTTACTGATGCTTTCTATCCATTTCAATCCCCATTTTAAAAAGGGTCAGTGTGGCATTACTCCATATTGTTCTTATGGTCAACAAATCCAGTGAGCAGACTCAAACCAACAACATCCTCTCTGCTCTGTGGCTCTCAGCTCCAAGCCCACTGGTTCCTACTGAAGATGTAAATCTTTAAACACACCTCACATGTACAGTTTCAGTTTCTTAATTTACCTAAAACTGCTGTCATTGTAGGATTTTTTTTTTTTTTTTAATCACAGTGCCTTGGTTGGTGGTTGTGGCAGCAGGAAAAGGACAACATCGAAAACTTGAGATTTCATAAAACAAGAAAATTCTAGAAAACAAAAAAGTGAGCAGAAATAAAGAAACAATAACAGAACTTTCAACAAAAAAACCCACAACAACAAAACCAAAAACAGCAACAACACAAAACAGAAATTTTCTTGAAATCAGTTCAGAGTTTACAATTTTATTTTTTTGTAAAATGTGGCATTTTCTGTTTTCTTACTCTGTTTTGAACCTCAGGGCCTCTGTACAAAGTGTTTACATACATTCATCTGTTACTCCTTCTGGACTTTTGGAACCATTATTAGATCGTCTCTCCAGCAGAGATGCACACCCTTAACTGACAATAAGATTTCCAGCCGATTGATACCATCAGTTAAGAAAGTCACTTTCAGCTTTTCCCGTTTAGGGGTCACCACAGCACACTGACGACTCGCATGTTGACATTTGGCACGTGTTTTACGCCAAATACCCTTACTGACACAACCCTGATTCAAACCCGGGCTGCAGCGTCGCGAGTGCTGCGCCTTAACCACTAGCCTACCAGGGACGGCTTGATTAATACCATCAGTTAAATTGTTAATAATAAATTAAAAAAATAAAAATTTTCAACAGTCTGCTTAGGCTATAGGACCTGCATATCAACTCATGGGGGGTGTGGTGGAAAGCTAATCCATTCTGCCTGGACAGCAGAGAGCAGACGACAGGAGGAGGGGGGCGGCAACAAAGACCTCCACCAAAAGAGAGCTGTGCTCCACCAGAAGCAACAGAAACTCTAATTTAGGTGGTCCCAAATAATCAATAATCATTTAGGCATATCACTTCCACTTTCAAAACAAATGAAACAGGAATTAAAATTCTAAACAGTCAAACTGTGACATGTCCTACACTTTTCCTCCCAGAGCACAGAAGCTGTGGTTTTAAGGTTAACGTGCACGATTTAGGGCTTTTCGGTAACTGCAGTTATGAGAGTGATCCGTTTTACTTTGAAAGGAGGTAACGCTCATGGCCCATATCCAATACGATATCACACACGGCTAAAGTGAGGTGACCTGCACACAGAAGCCACTTTATTAGGCTGTTTTACTCTGTTCATAGTTACATGTGTGAAATGCTCACCCATTCTAAATAGCCTGGCAGTTTCATTTTGTGGGTTATATGCTAATGGTCAGTTAACAAGCCTTGGCTATCAGTCGCTGCTAAAGGGTGAATGTGCTCTGTCATCAAGGGTCGTCACAAGTATAGAAAGACAAGTGCATGCATCTGTGAAGTAACTCACACAGAGCTCTGTTGGGATGGAGCTCCTTCTGGTGCACAGTTGACTGCTTCAGGTTCATGACTCCACTGCGACCGGCTCGAGCTGCAACAAATAGGACACAGAGTTAGGACTCACCGGGAGCTGAGGGATGTTCACAGACCCTGAGCAACACCTGAACACACCCACCTCTGTCCTGCTGAGGACCAACTGTGACTGCAGGCAGGCACAGGCCCACAGAGACAGATTTGCATTTTGTCAAGGCAACAGCCAAAGTGAGTGGGCGCAGTCTATATGTTTGGTAGGGAAACACAGGAGGTGAGGTGAAGAAAACGCACGAAAAGGACAAGATCCAAATCGGTGTCAGAAGACTATAGGTTTGTCCTGCTCTCTCTCTTTGGTGATTTGTTACAACTGTGTCACTCATAAATCACATGCAATGTTAGCTGATTTGGAGAGTGGTGTTTAGTAAATACTGCAGAGAGCAGGAGCCTGTGAAGTGAGGAAGAAGAGCATTCAACTGCCACATCGCTGCTAAAATTCCACAGCGGTTCTCTGTACAAGGAAAAAATATGCCATTTTAGAGGAACCAATGTTTTCAAAACAAATCAATCCGTGACCCCAGTGTCTGGTTAGAAAACAGTTGTGACCTCCCACACCGACTGGAAACAGATGGTCTTAGGGCCAGTACCTCCATCTTTCTTTCCTGTCTGCATGTGGCCCTGGGTGACCTTCGAGGCCAGTGCCTGACATGCCTGCCAGGTGTGTGTCAGGACAGAGATGCAGCAGACTGCAGCTCTCCTGACACACAGCGCACAGGAGCCCAGCCACAGCACACCTGGAAGAACCAAACCGCATGAAGTTAATCAAGAAACCGGGTACATGGGTGTGTCCCTGAGAGACACCCCAGCTCACCTAGGCCACCGCCGCCTGTGATTTCAGGTGTGGTTTGACAGAAGACAGGAAACAGGACCATGTATTAATGAAAGTGAGACACAGCAGGGCAGTTTCTTCACAGATACAGGCAGTGTGGCAGCACAGATGGAGGCCCAGTCCCATTTTCTTTGTGTACCCCAACCCTGATCACAGAGTCACATGGGGTCGTGATGGAAATCTGCCCTTATGAAACGGGACGACCCTTCACAACCCCTGAGCATCATCAGTGGTTAGGTAAATAGAAGTGATGACTTGTAGATGTGTTGAATCTCAGAAAGCAGTGATGATTTCTCCTGTGTGGCCCACAGACATAACGCCCACGAACGTAGCTGGATTTGTCTGTAATATCAGCCTCGCTTTCAGTCTGCCTCCGAAAACCCTCAGTTTGAAGGGCTGAGCAAGTTAACCTTTTTGCCCATGATCCCAAAACACTATACCCCTACACACAAGAGTGCAAAACAAGGATTAAGGCTACAAGGTAGGGTGGGGGTAAACTAGTGCCGGACCTTATTGTGTCTTTCTTCTCAAAAAAAACCAGCCAGCTTACCCTACATCATTCATGTGCACAGTCAAAGTTGATGTGAAAAGAGACGTAGTTCACGTTCTAGTTACTGTCAAGCTCCATTCAGTACGGCTCTTTTTGTAACCTAGTTCCTTATGGCTTACATAAAATGCTGCTTCCTTTCCAGAGGAAAAATGTTTGAGAAGTGCCGGATTGTAGTCTGTGTCTCTTTTTAATCTGATGATGTATGATAGGTAAAACGGGGCCAGCAGGTGTCTCTGGATGGAGAGGACACAATAACCAATCAGGAGGAGCATCCCTTACATGTGAATACACACCAGCAGCTTAGACAATGACCACACTCTGCTGAAACAACTGTTGGTTCATGTGTGAATGCACTGCGTTCCTGTCAGAGGTGCTGACAGGCAGCTTTCAGTTTGTCCCACTGAAACACGAACACCTGCTCAGAAAGAGGTGCCAGCTCTCTGACACTAAACACTCAGATTAGCTATGAGCTATTTCAGTGAAGCACCAGCAGCATAGGTACTACGTTTGATTGTTTAAAATTCATCTGGGATTTAGAAGGCATTTAAGGAAGGCAATAAAAATGTCTCCTTTACAGGAGACATTTTTATTGTGACTCAGGTCCTACTCTGACAAGAAGGAAACCCCGTGTCAACTGGTCACAAACTGAAAACCACCCACCTGTGCTGCTCTTGCAACTCCGGCCTCTGCAGTAGATGGTAGAAGTCTCTGACTCGCCATGGTCTAAGGGTCTGGGCCCCATCAGCGAGGAGCAGTGGGTGGAGGTGGACTCCTTCCTATCTGAGCGCAGCTCACAGTCTTTGCAGTAAAACCTGCCGAGCGTCTGGCTTGAGTGTTTGGAACAGCAGGTGACCGAGCTCGTCAGAGTGCTGTCTGCCAGGACGGTGCTTTCTGCAACACACGAACTCCACACGATTGGCTAGCTGACAGAAAATTATCTGGAGAGTTCACTAATTTTACAGAAAAACTTTTTACAAATTCACCACCTGCTGCCTGGAAATTAAAACTGCTGGTAAAATAACTGATGGCTCACAGGAAAACAGTCAGAGACAAACATAACCAAAGGATAACTCCTCATTATAAATTCATCATCAGAAAACAAAACTAATCTGGATCCGTTCATACTTACACATTTATTCATACTAACAAATACATATGATACACTGTTTAAAATTAGATTTAGCTCTTAAGACATGCTTGGAGCAGGATTTGTTAATGCTGATGATATTTTGTTTTGATATTAATAATCCCAACAGTTAATGTTTGGAAGGTTGCACTGTGTGCAATTAGCTATTAGCTAACCCTGGTGTGTGAACTCCTACTGTGCTGAGGCAGGTTCAGTAAGAAACATGAGATACAGTGGAAGAAGTGTCAGAAACGTTAGATGCTTCGATTATTCATCACTCAGCCCAGTCAGGATCATCATCACTTCACTTTTAGTGATGAAACTTTGGCTGCTGGAGATGTGCGACTCTTAGATTGATAGAACAGCTATGGTGAGAATTCATCGATATCTGTGGAGGGTGGAGTGTGAACTGACCTTTGGGGTCGATGTCGTGGTCCAGACCTGCAACAGCAGAAGAGGAAGACCACTGTCAGCGTTTCCGTGACCAAACCCAAACTGAACTCTGCTCCATCTGCTGTTTGGAGGCAGATTTGTCTGAAAATGCCCCACACCACATAGAACAAATACGTCTCACACTTTCTGCTGCAGAAGCAATCGACAGTGTGTTCTGGGAACATCCAGAGTAATAAGGGCATCTCAGTAAATCTGCAGCTATGATGGTGCCGATATTTCAAAAACAATAGTTCCATACATACTTCATGTTTACACTTACATTTCACATTCATTCAGATAATAGTGTAGTGGCTAAAAATATACAAGGTTCCAGAGGTAACAGTATGTAGTTCATACATAGATATTATTTGTAATAGTTATGTAAGGCTGACTCGTGACCAACAACAACTGAATGGACTGACGCTTTTGACAATCTTCTTATTTAATGCTTTATTTATCACATTGCAGGAGGAGAGTCCCTGTTCTCTGTTTCCCCAACTACAAGATTATCTGTTTAAATACTACTCTATTCAGAATAATTGTAATATTAAATGATCCTTTAAATTGGGATGGTTTGTCTGAATTAATTTAGTCGGCATCACACTCTGGCCACGACAATAGCTTTGACTTAAGAGTACATTTTCCTGTTCTGATCTGTACATGACTCGGATAAAATGAGAAAAGAATGAATCATTTCATCAAATCCACATCCTTTGTAATCCCTTGTCAAATCACATTATGTTTCCAGAGTCTGGCCAGCAGCTGGAGAGCACATTAACCACCAGACTCACTGCAGGTGGTGCACAGTTAACATTAATGCAACCTGTTTTTGTCAAACTGAGCCAACACAGTGACCCTGCTGGTAGAGAGCCACGGGTGTGTCTTACCCCAGAGTGTGTCGACCAGCGTGGTCTCCTGGATGGAGGACTCGTCCAGCAGGGAGGAGAGCAGGGATGCGTCTGAGGCCACGCTGTGGAGGCTGCTGTTGTGGTGCGATTGGCCGGCCAGTTTACGAGGAGTGTGGGTGAGGAGCGACTCAGAGCAGGAGACAGAGAGCTGCTGAGAACGACGAGGCTTCAGAGACCTGCAGGAGGAGGAGGAGGAGGAGGGGGAGGAGAAGATGAAGACAGGACTGATCCCATCAGTGCAGAAGCAGGAGAGCAGCTGACATCTACCTGGTGTTCCTCCAGCCACCTCCTCCCACGCTGAAGGAGGCGCTGCTGTGTGGCAGGCTGCGGTCCAACAGCCCATCATCGAGCCGCAGGCTGTGTCTGGACATAGTCCTGGTCTGGAGGAGCCGCTCCCCTTCTGCCTGCCACGTTGCTGACGAGTAGCAGGAGCTGAGGAGATGATGGAGAAGTGACCTGTTAATATCCATCCATCTCACCTGTTTGTGAACCAGTTTTCACCCACACACCACATTAGCTTTTACAGTGGTGGCAACAAAAAAAAAAACAACAACTGATCTTTTACTTCAGAAAAAGTACCAATGCCACAGTGTAAAATACTCAGTTACAAGACCTGAATTCAAAAGTTTACTTTAGTACAAAAGTATTAGAATCAAAATATAGGATACTTGATGTGGCAAAAAATAATCACGATGCAGAATAATACCATTCACATTAATGTATATTATTGGATTACATTACCCTGACAGTACCAAACCACATTTGTATTTTTTAAGTAAGGAGCTAATGTTTAGGAGATCATAGACAAAGTACACAAAAGATTAGCAGTAAAAAACAGGACCCATCAAATAAAGAGTTACCAACAGAGTTAGACCTGGCTCCTGATCATCTGTGGTTTGAGACAACCTCATCTTGTGCTGACATACTGATCAGTCAGAGCTCTCTCCTCCATGTAACAAATCTCTGTAACTGTGTCAGACACACAGAGCCAACGTGGCCTATACACACACACACACACACACGGGGCTAAAACCACAGAAGATGAGGATACACACAGGTCTGTCCAGCCCCAGCTCTGCACATTCACATCCTCATCACTCAGAGGAAACTGAGCCACCAGACACACATTAATAAAAACGCACACATACAGTCGCATGTGGTAGCAGCACAGTTCAAGTTCACCTGTAGCATGATTAGCCTGCTGCAGAGTGCACTTCCTGTTACGAGCTGTGGGTCAGTCACCTACTTAGACCCCCACTCACACCTAATCATTTACCCACAAACTGAAAACATGTGAAAAAGACAGGCTACCAGTTATCAGCCAGTTTGCTTCAACAGTAGAGGGGACACAGGTGTAACAGGACACCCGTGAGACCGGACATGCAACGGTGGACAGTACATTTACTCAAGAAGGCAAGTACAATTTTGAGATATTTGAAATTTACTTGAGCATTTCCATGTCCTGCTACTTCATACTGTGACTTCACTCCATGTCAGAGACAAACCTTGGACTTTTTTTACTGCACTACGTGTATCTGATAACTTCAGTTCAGTTTATAAATGTTGTCAATGTGCTGTTGTTTCTTGCTTTGTTATATTATTTTACATATTTTCAGATTTTTTCAATTTTTCCTCTACACTGTCCTTCTGATTGTATTATGGTATTTAAATATTTGAAACTTACAAAAAAATGGGCATGAAATTAGAAAACTATATTTTTGGTTTGTGTGTAGACATCTAAACCACGCGCTCTCAGGCATTTAACCACACGTCTAACAAAATCCAGCCAATCAGCATGCAGTTTAAACAGATGACATCGCAAACAACCAATGACATCGCGCAATGGGCGGGGCCCCGCGAAAAATGAAACGTAGATTTACTAATGTTAGCATTAGTAGCCAAATCGTGGCACAAAACGAAGATTAGGCACAAAAATTCACACATAAACTGCTTACCTAAAGAAAACTCTCAACAAGAGAACGAGTCTTCCACAGTAACGTTACACGTTAAAGGTAAAGCAAAGGCCTGCTGTTAGCGTAAGAGGTATTAATCCTGACGGGTGCTAATTAACTTAGCAGCCTATTTCTGTCTTTTAAAAATGCCTGTTAGCGCCGTAACGATAAAAACCTTGTTCTTTTGCTCATAACTATGTCTTACAAAGAGACACCTCTAATAAACATCGACTGACAACAAGCCAAACTACGAAGAACAGTTGCTTCGTGTTTAATTAAACAGTACGGGTCTTTATAGCTGTAGCGGTGATTATCGCCCCCGTGTGGCGGGAGTTATAAATTACTCAAGCGAAAACAAAGATTATGTATTTCTTTTTCACACGTTAAGCCACGAATTCTATTTGATTTAGGATGAATTAACCCGTTTGGGGTTCCTGGAGCAAAAAAATGTACTGTTAGTCCCCTGTTTCTTTCAGGTTCTCAGAAAATACAGAGCGCAAAACACAATATAGGTCGCAGCATTTTTTGCAAAGAAGTCACCATTAGAGCACAAACTATGATATTGCTACAACTAGACTTCGACACAGAACCTCTTTACAAATAAAAGTGCTATAAATAAACAGTGACGTCACACATGTAAAACTGGCTTGGTGTTAGACGAAAACGGAAGTAGGTGAGGGGTGAATATCTCGCGTTGTCATGAACCGGATGTAGAAGCAACGTGCACACGTGTTTGTAGCGTTTCAGAAACTAAGCCTGGGTTCCACTTATTGTAAGTAATTTCTGAATATTATATTGTTGCAGTGTATTCAATTTTATGTTCGAAGGTAGTGCGAGATTTCTTTTCCCCACTTTCAGAAGTGTGAAGTCCGCAGGTTAACTAACTAGCTAACATTCATCTTGCTGTTAACAGAACTAGCAAACAGTTGCAGTAGCATAACATCAGTGTATACTAGTAATGTTAGGCTGTTTGTTCTAATATTTACCAGTTTTGCCTGTAACACAATGAAAGTTATGTTCTCATTATGCAAGATTACAACCTGGATACAAATGGATTACACAGTCACAGACTTTCAGGGGAAACACAAAAGTAAAACCTACCAAAGTGATGTGAATCGGTTATGTTTGTGTGTCTGTCAGGTTGAGAAACAGCCATCATGACGTCTTTGGCTCACCAGCTGAAGAGGCTCGCGTTGCCTCAGAGCGACCCCAACCTGCTCACTCGCAGAGAGGTCGCCTCACTCCTCTTTGACCCCAAAGATGCTGCGTCCATGGACAGGAGCACCTTCTATGCCCTCGGTGAGGCCTGCGTGGCATCTGAAATCACCTCCAATACTAGTCTCATTACTCCAGTTTATCTTATACAGTCAGTTTTCTGCCCTAACCCAGCCTGTCCATTGTTATCCCCCTCCAGGCTGCACAGGACTGGAGGAGCTGCTGGGAATCGAACCAGCATTCCTGGAGTTTCAGGACACTTTGTTCAGCCGGGCCTCGTTGACTCTAGAGCGCAGTGTCCAGTCCAAAGAGGTCAATGAGAAGCTGGATGCCAGCATCTCGCTTTTCCTCACCCGCCTCTGCCCGTACTTCCTCCTCAAACCGGCTCACAAGTGTATGGAGTGGTTGGTTCACCGGTACGCTGCACACCACAGTAAACCAATGTAACATCACAAATCGGTGTCAAAAATATCCCCACAGCTCAGTTGAGCACATTAGCTCATACTGAATTTCAGGTATCATGTTCACATGAAAGTGCAGTTTAATAAGTCTTTGGAAGGTGTGGAGACCTCGCTCAGACCAGACCCTGAACACCAGATGTGTCCTGTTGTGTTGCAGCTTCCACATCCAGCTGTATAATACTGACAGTCTGCTGGCCTGTGCTCTGCCGTACCACGACACCAACGTGTTCGTCAGAGTTCTGCAGCTCCTCAGGATCAATGACGATGTCAGCCGCTGGAACTGGCTGCACTGCCTGCAGGTCTGGCTGTGAACACCTCACGCACACTCCTTCTGTTCACATTCTTATGTCTGTAGCTCTCATGAGTTAGTTCAACTCCAGTTAAGAGATGGTCTAGTGGAGATCAAGAGAGTGAGTTCTGTGAACAAGTTACGCAAGTACAAATACAGAAATGTTTGCAAAGGAGAGCCAAGCTCTGTTTTGGTTTAAGAATCCAGTTTGTTGTTGTATCTGCAGAAACCAGGCGTGCCATTGTCCAGAGGAACCCTGATCACTCACTGCTACACAGACCTCAGCTTCATGGACTTCATCTGCACCATGGTCACCAAGTCCGTCCAGGTAAAAACAGATGTAACAGCCAGCCTGGTTTTACCTGATCTAATGTTACATGTGTGTAGTTGTCATCTGGCTGATTGTTGTGCAAGTGAAACTGTGAACGCTTTGCTGTGCAGGACACATCTGACAGTTGAGAACCCACAATGGTAAAACAAATAAGTTTGTAGTTGTTGTTTACTCTTATGTAACAAATGTGATGACAAAAAACTTTAAACTTTAAAAACCCGTATTGACCCATTTTTAAAGTGAACCAACTGAAACTTTCTCAGATCTTTACATGTCATTTCTGTCTCCTACTTCAGGCATATTCAGGACACTCTGGGCGTTGCTCCCAGCTCAGAGTGATCTTCTCTTTCTATGCTTCCACCATCGTCCCTGCCCTGGATGCTGTGGACAAAGTGTCTGACACCATCATATCCAAACTGCTGCCTTATGTCCAGAGGGTAAGTATCTACCTGCAAGTTTGAGTTTGAAGCGCAAAACCGACATTTTGCTGGCTGTTCTGTAATCTGTGCCTCGTGTTGTGGACGCCAGTCAGCAGACCAGCAGGGGGGCGACAGTTGTGGCTAGAGGCATCATGTTTTCAGGTCATCTGTCTGTCTGGTCTGTTCTCGTGAACGTGAATGCCTTGAGGGAATTTCTTCAAATTGGGCACAATTGCCCACTTGGACTCAGTGTTAAGCTGGTTAGATTTTGGTTGTCAAAGGCCATCTGGCTCCTGGACTGAGTTTCAAAACCAAGTCCACAGATGTAACTTGTGCAAAGCGACTGATCCTCTTTGTGTTATCGACTTCATACAGAACAACACAGAGAAGTAGAAAAAACATGCACTCAGTAAAGCAAAAAAGTTTGAATAAATCACTTGTTCAAATAATAAACAACTCATAGAATCACGTCTTGATGATAACTATACATCGACCAGTCAAGGAAATAATGAACAGTTCAGTCAACAGTGCAAGTTATTGTTAGCTGCAGCTCCAGGCTTTTTATTCAGACTTTGTTGTAAGGCTGCTTGGGTTTAAACATTTACAATTAAGAATTTTAAAAGTTTAAGAACTTTTGCATCTTTTCTTCAGTGAAAAGGCTTTTTAGGGAACTGAGTTTGAAGTAAAGGATCCAAACTATTGTTTTTCTTGTTCTTTATTAGTTTATTTGTCCCAGACAAATAGACATAATTTACCATTGAAGATGTAAATGTGTCAGGTTTAGCTGGATGACTAATTTTCATCCCTAAGTCGCAGCCTGGTACCTAACCAAGTCGGCGATGTCCCTGCAGGGTCTGAAGTCGTCGCTGACGGACTACAAAGCTGCCACCTACATGATCGTGTGCCAGCTGGCGGTGAAGGTGGTAATGGAGACAAGTCTGGTCAACAGCCTCGCTGTGCATATTAGCAAGTCTCTGGTCAAAGAACCCGTTCTGGCCAAGGAGGGTCTAGGCTGCCTCATTGTGCTGCTGCAGAACCAGAGGGAGGGGGCTGCAGGGCCCAGGTAGGATCAGACTCCGACTCTTGTAGGCTGTGTCCTCATTGCAGCAGTAACACCGTGACCCACTGGTGTTCACTGAGCTCACGGGACCCACTGTAATTGAGGTCCAGCTCACAGAGAGAGAGAGAGTTTCTCTCAGAGTTGTTTCATCAGCTTAATGAACAGTGAAAAGGAAAAGCAAAAGACTTGCTGTTGTCATAAGGTGCAGCTGAACTGATGTGATGTGTCCTGACCTTCCTTCATCTCTTGGCGTGAAAGTAGAGTGTAACCATAAACATTGGGGGGAGATGGTTAACTTGGTTGCTGCTGCTCTGCCTGCCCAGTGTGAGTGTGACCTCCTGACTCTGGTTTATCTGTGTGCAGAGCTTTCAGCCATCTCTGCTCGATGCCAGCATTAGTTTCAACTCTTCAGCTCATGGCGGCAGTTCACGATGTCAGTCCTTTGCTACGTTACCTGCTGCCTCAACTGATCAATGCCGTGTTCACCTGCAGCTCAGGTGAGAACTGGAGCCAAAACATGGCTGTCTGAGTTTTTTGGTGACATCTGGATGTTTTCCCATAGGAAGAAAAAGAATGTTATTAGAGCAGCAGATTGAAGTCTACCTGTTGGTGTCTGGCACAGGTGAGATGGATGAGCTCGGTGTGTTGAAGTCCATCCTGCAGTCTCTTCCTCTGACCAAAGACCTGGACCGGACTGTGGCTCGGTAAGCTCACCTCATTCTCCATGAACACTCAGACTGCTGTTTGAACTCCTTAACAAGCAAGAGATTAATTTAACTCCTGGGACACGTTTGAGACGTCATCAGTCGGATTTCGTTTTTCATTTTACAGTGCAGGTTTTTATCTGTGATGAGTTGCTGGTGTCTTCTTTTCTCTGTTTTAGAAGTCACAGTAGTTACTGTTCATGAGCAACTACAGAGGAAGTTGGAGCAGAAAAAGTTTTAAAGCCTTAACTTTAACTTTAAGCTTCCTAGAAACTCGGTGTTCCTCGTGCAGATTTGTTAAACATTGTGTCAGATCAGGTTAGAAATCAGATGTGTTTATACCTGATCTGAACAGAGAGGGGGGAGGTAACTGCTGCCTGTTAACAGAGAGGGAGATGAGATGTGGTTTAAATATGGAGATGGAGGCACAGTGTTGACCTCAGCTGTTCGCATGACGAGCTGTGTGATGAATGAGAGAAGTGTGAGCCCTGAAATGATGAGCTGTCAGAGCTGTCCGACCATCCCACAGTTCTGACAGAGTATGCAGAGTCACCTGTGTGCTCTTGTGTTCCTCCTGCAGTTTGCTGCTGGACCAGTATCTGAGTCAGACTGAGCTCTCTGCTGAAGACATGTCTGCTCTTGACCAGTGTCTGCTGCCTCTGGTCCGACTGTTTGAGTCCAGGTGAGTCTGGCTAATCACATTGGACTGGGATGAGTTATTTGTAAGTCAAGTTCTACTGCTGTTCAAGTCATTTATGTTCCTGCGACATGCCATAGTTTAAGTACTTGGTTTGTTCCATGCAACTGAGGTCTGGAAAACATCGCCGCTGTTTAGGTTCAGGTTACTAGATTACTGGTTAAACAGTAAACAAATATTCCGGTAAACAAAACCGACAGCATCACATTGCACTGTACTGTCCCACTATGCCTCCTCTATCAGGTACATTGGAGCGCTGGACAGTGTCCTCGCAGGTCATGTGACCTACCTCAGCAGCACTCAGCACAGATGTCTCTTCCACCGGTTCCTCTCTCTGTCCATGAGCAGTGGAAAATTCCAGGTACACCAAACTGTGTTGTGTATGTCCTCTAGTTATTAGTGAGAACAAAAACAAAGTGTGACTTAATATTGTTCAACTCATAGAAGCTGAATTACCCTCTGGCCATCACTGCGGCTGTTTACATCCTCTGCAGGGACGCAAATAAATGTGGGCTTGTTCACATAGTATTTGATGCTTTTGTGTTTCTGTAGATTTTGGGTGACTCAGATACGTCGCTGCTCCTTAGCCTGAAGCACCCGCAGCCTTCGCTCAGAGTGTCAGCGGTGGAGCACCTGAGGGACATCATCACCTCTGGACAGGTACAGTACATCCTCAAGTAAAGCGAGAGCAGCTGCATTTGTGTTCAGATGAAGCAGGCTGGTTTCTTCTGCTGAAATGTGTCTCCATTGTGTTTTCAAAATGATTCCACTGATTCGTATATCAGAGCTTTAAATTATTGTCTAATGAGACTTGATTAATTTGGTGTTGGTGTCTGAGAAAAAAAAAAAAAAAGCACTGAAGTTTCCTGCTGTGGATCAGGTGAAAACAAACTGACTGTGTTTCCTCTCAGCAGCAGCAGAGTCTGGATGAAGCCTTCCTGAAAGACGCCGTCATGGACCGTCTGCAGGATGATGTGCCGGAGGTTGTGGCCGCCGCCCTCAGAGTGCTGGAGGTCAGTGGTTGCACAAGCAAAGGCTGCAGGAAGATTTTATTTCAGGGGGTTTCCTGTCTTCATCACATGTTGATGCCCTTTGAAACAGGGACAGCTCAGAAGCGTTGGCTGAGTCGGCTGCTGGAAACAGCTGAACAGAGTAGTTTGGTGAAGAGTGAGGGAGATTGCTCAGTTCATGTGCAGGTCTGATCAGCAGTGACTGGAAATCAAGGTTCACATACTTTGTTCAATTTGATGCTTAATGTTGGAGTATTTACCCAGTAAATATGAAAAGTTTTAAGTGTTTTGTTTAATTGGATTCTCTTAATTTAGTTGTGAGCGTTAGGTGAGGATGTGGTCACGTTTCAGGTCGATTGTGTGTAGAGATATCAAACATTTTAAAGGCTTTACTACTGTTTTCTGCATCTGGCGTTTCTTTATATCACAGGAAATGAATGGGCCTTTGTCAGTTTTCAAGATTAAAAATAACAAACGCGATGTCTGCAGGTGAAACGTCGGTGACCACTGGGAACCTGGCTGCTCATAAATTTGACCTGCAGATATTTTGGAAATAAACAGACAAATCCAGCAAAAATTTTTTGTCTGTAAGCACAGGCTAAGATCGGATGTGTGTGTAACAGTGTGTTGGGATTTGGATTCTCATGTCGGCTCTGCTACCGTGTCAACATAGTCTCTCGTTATTCCAGATGCTGTCTGATGTTTTGGACCCTGAAGACATCGTGTCATGTTTACTGTCTCTGCTGCACAGAGTGGATCTATCGGTGGCTCAGCACTGGTCAGTAAAGTACACAAACGTTATCATTACTTCCGTTTAAACACTCACCTGAATGTTTTTTGTACCTCCTAAATATGAAACAATAGCATCACAGGATTAGAATAAAGCTAAATTTATGAATAATTATGTGCAGTTTTATGACAAAACATTTAACTATTCGGAAAAAATCTTGAGAGAAGAGAAATCTTTCTGGGAGTTTAGGCTCTGTTGATCCAGAACCTGCTCCATTTTTCTCTTAAGTTAAACACTTACAGATTGAACTGCTTATACTTGTACAGGTGTACCTAATAAAGTGGCCAGTGAGGCAGCATAAAACATAGTGTTTTCAACAACAGTAAACAAGAGTAAGCCTCCTGAATTAGACAGCAGTCATTCAGGTGAAATAACATCATGTATCCACAGTGACTCTGGGCTCTGCGTTGTTCCTTCAGGTTGCCCGTGTTGACCGAGGCGGTGCGTTTACTGTCCCACCCCCAGCTGGGAAAGGCAGATGCTGAGCTGCTGCAGAGGGCAGGCTGGAGGCTGCTCCCCTTCCTGGTGATCACTGCCACTCAACCAGACTCAGCCCAGCTCTGCCTCGCCTCCTGCATCGCCCGATCCTGCATCGTCACCCGACACCCACTCACCCTCAACTGGGCTCAAGGTATCAGGTCAAACAGAATGTTTGCTGTGGCTGCTTCTCAAATATAGTACCAGAGTATTAATGTGAAGCAGCAGCAGCAGCGGGAGATGTTGTTAGTGTTTGCAGTAAGTTAATCCAACTCTGAACAAGAGTAAGAGTCAGCAGTGACACTCATTATTCGAATCAAATAAGCTTTAGTACCAGTTTTTAGCTGTTTGCTGTCGTATTTCCACACAGACTGACTGTGCAGACATCCTCAGGTAAAGAGCCATGTCGTGTTTCCATTTTGTAGACTGGGCTTCTGAGCAGATGGCACATTTTAGTTGACTCCACAGGGGGCTTGTGATGCCAGACAAGTTCAACCTGTGTCTTTTTCTCTGTGATTCAACCTGAACCTGCTTCCTCTGACCACACAGAGCTGGATGAGGTGATGAAGAGAAGCTCTGAACCTGATTTTGTGGGACTGGCCAACGAGCGCCTCGTCTCCACATTGACCAAGAACCTGGCAAACATGGAGCACTTCTCCAGACGGGACGCTGTGAGTTTTAATCCAGGCTCTAGGTTTTCTGACGACTTACACAGAACGCTCTAGTATTTGCAACAGGTTTTAAAGAGGACAGAGTGCGAAACACACACTGTACTTGTTAGTGGGAGGCTTTCACTGTTGGTTTGGAGCTGCTACGAGGAAAATGTAGATTATCAGCAGAAGTAAAGAACTAGCTCCCTGTCTTTGTGCGGTCTTCAGCTGGAGAAGCTGGCTCAGTCGGTGGAGCAGCATCAAGGCTCCAGCCTCAGAGAGAAGGCGTCATTCCTGGTGCTGACCCAGACTCTGCTCCTCGGCTTGGGCAATCTGGGTGAGACCCAGCACCTGCTGACTGCTCAGAGGGTCTACACAATGCTGGAGCGCCCCCTGCTGGAGACCACCAGGGACCATGACGCCCAGGTCAGTCACAAAGTGGAGTCAAATGTTAACATCAGCACTGATAAATACTGTAATGAGGGGTATGGTTCTGCACTGAACTACTGTTTGTTTGACAACACAAATCCTGCAGGCTCTTACTTCAAAGTAAACAATGAGAATGATAATCACTTTTATGGGCACAACGAGTTTAACTGCTACAGAACCGAGGTGGCCATCTGCGGTACCACCTCACCCACTCATACACACACACACACACACACACACACACACACACACACCAATCGCGGTACTAATTCTGCTAATTATATGGCAGGAGGTTTTGCACCATTCTTTAGTGTAGGAGAGCGTTTGCTGCGTTTTTCTCACAGTAAATGTCATCAGGCTATAAAAAATATGTATCATTTTCCTTCCATTCCCCTGAAGTTGAACCCTGTTTTCTTCAGTCTGAGGTTTTTGCTGAAGCACAGGTGTACATCTCACTGTCTTCCAAAGCCTCATGGTTTGTTTTTTGTTCGTTTTTACCTCTGTGTGTTTTGGCAGGAAGCTGAGCATCCTATAGTCGTCCCCTCCTCCTCTTCTGAAGCCCTGACTCTGTACCTGCACAGGTGTGGGCAGCAGCCAGGTGAACAGCTGACCAGAGAGTACAGCTTCGTTCTGATTTCTCTCCTCAGGGACTTTATCTCCTCGCTCAGGTGTCATGACACCTCCTTCAAAGGTAAAAAGCTTGTGACTTAACAAAAACCAGCACGTCTGTGGGTTTCCCTGTAAGCACACAGTTGAGTGTTACCTTCCTGTCTGCCAGGTAAGGTGTGGTGGAACCCGGAGAAGTTGGACACCAACACCTGCTGTTACCTGGGACTGCTCTGCCGCCTCTTCGCCGTGATCATGAGTGGTGCCGGAGAGGGGCCGACCACCGGGAGCTTCAGGGAGTTAATGAAACTCCTCATCCAGGTATCAGGTCATCTCCTCCTGACTGTTATTAGCTCTCTTTCTATCTGTCCATTAAATATGAAGCTACACCTTAATGAATGTGCTGCACAGGTGCTGGTAGGTGGGTTCTCTTACCTTTGGACACAACCAGACCAGCACTCTTCCCCCTATCTCTGCTGTTTATGCCAAGCTGAGATAGCAGCTGCTGGCTGTAGCTTTTGGCTATTGTCTGGCTATTGTACAGACATGAGAGTGGGATCATTCTGAACAGAGAGAAAAATTAAGAAGAGGGTCTTAAGATGGCTCATAACAAGACAAGGGCTCTTAAACCTCTTTCCGTCTCTTCCAGGTCCACCTGCGTGAGCCAGTGATGCTCTTCAGGTTCCTGTGCGTGCTGTGGGGGTACAGCTGTAACCATGGAGACCAGCTGGACTTGAAGGTCGGGGCTGTTCTGCAGACTCAGGCCCTATACATGGGTAGAGGTCTGCTGAGCGTTCAGTCTGTCGCCATGCTGGAGGAGCTGGCAGCTGCCAACTCGCCTGGTAAGAAGAGGAAAGTCAGTGTGATAGTATCAGTTCTTTGTAAGGGGGTTATGTGGGTAAACTACTACTGATGCAAACAGACAAGCCATCTTCCTTTTTATTGGCTGCTACTTGAAATGTAGCTGTTTAACTTTGTCATTTGTTTAAAGTAAGCTTGTTAGGATGGCAGCATTTGAGCTGTGACATCAGTGAGTTTGCCTTCCTGTTGATTCTCTGTCACTGACAGTTGCAGTGGGTGGATCACTGTGGAGGGGGGGGGAGTATGATGACATGTGGTTCAGATGTTCATGCTCCCCTCAGGATGAACTTTAACAACTCTGCTGATCATCTGACTTGTCGTCTAGTGTCACCACCAGGTTGACATTCTGTTGTGTCCCATACTTTGGTTTAGGACCACATCCCATCAGCTTCAGCTGCACACTGTGTTTACTGCTGATTAGTAAACGTTAGCATGCTAACAGGCTAAACTAAGATGCTGAACGAGGTAAACATTTTCTCTATCAGCATGTTGGCATTTAGCTCAAAGCACCAGTGCTGAGCTACAGCTTCTAAAGAGGCTGTTAACTGAGGATCTGCCCCCACCCTACCCCAATAGACACTAAACTGTCCAATTGCATTTGTCCTCGTTTACTAAAGTAATGCACCAAAGTTTTGTGCTGATAATGGAAGAAAAGCTGCATTTCACACTCTGTATTTTACAGGCTGGTCATTTTCTCTATTAACAGTATTTTCAACAGAGACTAAAACAATGAATTGCGTCTACTCACTGTCAGTCTCCAGCCTTATTCATCAGTGCCATAGACCTTCTGTTGTTCAAAATCCATTAAAAAGTGCAACACACTGCTGAACTGGGTGACATGAAAATGACCGGCCCATTCTATTAATGTTCCTGTTCAGAGGTACAGAATGTGAGAGGAGGGTTTCTGAATGCTGAGCCTGACCGAGCCCCACAGCAGTGAAAGCACATGTCTGAGAAATGTGGTCCAAGTGGTTAGGCCATCTGTTATGATGACGACAATCATTCGATTAGATCATTAGGAGTTTGGAGCCAACTTCAGAAACTGAGCCCTCTGTGTGTGTGTGTGTCTGTGTGTCAGTGGTTCCGTCCTTGCTGTGTTGTCTCTGCTCACCGGTTCGTGAGGTCCGGAGAGCAGCCCTTGGTGCCCTGCAGAACCTATCAGGAGCCAGCACCTCTCCCTTTCAGCCAATCATAGAGAAGCTTCTGAAGACATCAGAGGAGCTCATCGCCGACCCTGCGTACCTGAGCACGGTGACCATTTTCAGTTTATCCACCAGTTATTTTCTGTCCATCAGTTTGCTTGTAGGACAGAACAAGAACAGAAATTATTTTATTTATAAAGGTAACAAATAGAGAAAGGTAGAAAAATGTCCTTTTCTAAGATATAACCAGAAAATATATCCCAACAGGAAAAGGGCTATTTTCAAGTAATCAGAAGAAACTATGCACTTTGATTTAATTTGGTTCTACTTACAATAAGAACGGAGGTTTTGTTAGTTGTCGTACATACAGACAGCTGTGTGTCTCGTGTGTGTGTGCGCTGACTATCTTCATGTTAACCCTGCAGGCTCTCGGTGTTCTACACAAGCAGTGTGTGTCTAGTAAAGTGACGATGCAGCAGAAAAAGTTAGAGACATCGTTGCAGCAGCTGCTGCAGTGTGTTCAGACACCCTGCTGTCCCTCATACAGCGCCGCCACCCTGCTGAGAGTGCTGAGCCAAGTCAATGGACAGGTGACAGCAGAAGCACACCTGTACATCCAGAACATCACACAATCGGTGATCAAAATTGTTTCTGACTGGCCTTGTCTTCTCTCTGCCTCCCTTGCCTCAGTCTGTCCTGTCTGCCCTGCTTCCTGTCCTGGATCGGCTCCTGGACCAGAGCAGCCCCGACGCCCCCACCCTGCTCCAGGACGAGGCCCAGCTGATGCAGCTCATCCTGGGGAAGTACAGTGAGGCATCAGCCCCCCTGCTGGCCAAGGACCAGAACTGCCTGGATCTGTTCATCAGGGCTCTGAAGACCTCCACCCTGCCACACCCCGGCATCCCCAGTTGCCAGATTATCGCTCTGGAGCAGGTCTGGATAAAACACGGTTAAACTAGGGATTAACTGAAGAATGAAGAAATCTAACAACAAAACCAGGGTTTAGTGTGGTTTAAATCACTAAAATGTGGGAGAGTAATCCAATCCTGCTTCCAAATAAAGGTGAAACAAACACTCAAATAAGGAAATGTAACTTATTTTTCACGACTGGATGAATATTTCAGAAGAGACGTTCCTGTTTTTACACTTCTCACTGAAGACCATTTGAGTGTGTTTAATAACCAGGTTAGAAGCAGAGAGGAAGATGAACAGAATTTTTGTGTCTTGTTTTTTCGGTACTGCTCTCAGCAGACACAGGCGACTCTGTTCTCCATTACTGATGTGTCATCACTTCTCCCTGCAGATCATGAAGCCATTCTTCTCGGCCCTCGGAGATGACATGGTGCGACAGAAGCTGCTGTCGGCAATGTTCGACCTGCTAGTGGAGGCCAGGAGTCCGCTGGTGGCAAACACCGTCAGCAGTGTTTTCAAAGCGGTGAGGAAGCAGAGGGTGACCAGCTGCTAACAGGAACCTGTTTGTGAATTCTGACTAGGTTTAGACCTTATCCTGCACATGGGGCAACAGCTGCAGACATGTACTGTACACATGGTGCCAGCAAGACCTGAGCTTGGCTGAATGCTCCTCCAGCTTCTGTGATATTTTGCTGACAAAATTATTACTAATCTGGGAAATAATCAGTGATTAAAAAAAAAAAGTAGTTCTTAGCTGCAGCTCTACATTTGGCACTGAAACCAAACTATCTATACTGCTGACCACTTGAGTCGACTATAAATCCAGCTTCTGAGTGACGGGTGGTCCAGGCTTTATTCAGGGGCCTGGTCTGGGCCTGAATGCAGTAAAGAGAGTTACATGACATTAACTCATAAAACCTTCTCTTTAACAGATTGTGATTGACGGGCAGCTGGTGGCCAATGAGCTTGCTCCACCAGAAAAACCTAAAATCTGTGTGACGGTGCAGCAGACCCGCAGGAGCAAAATGAATCAGAGGTATCTACAACATGTGCTCTTTGTCCTTAAGGTCTGGCATTTCCTCTCTGGTTGTTTCGTTCATCAACCAACATAAATCTGCATTTAGAAATTTGCTGTGAGCCAAAACTGCAGTTTTTGCTAGAAATAATCTCCAAGTTCTGACTATAGGAGTTAATTTTTTTTGTGAGATTTGTAGAACACCTGCTCACATCCCATTTAAAAAATAAAACCAAGTGTGTTCCTATAGCAAAGTGGCATGTTTCTGCTCCAGTCCAAAAACATTAGCTTCAGGAACAAAGACAGATGTGAAGCTGTGTTCTCTGATTAGGAAACCTCAGGAGAGCGGTGAGGCGGGTCCAGACGGGGGCGTTGTGTCATGGCACAGAGTTACCTTGATCCTGGAGCTGCTGCAGCACAAGAAGAAGCTGCACAGAGCCCAGATGTTGGTGCCAGTTCTGTTCTCTCTGCTCGCCAGGTACGGTCACATTCTGGTGAAAAATGTTTGTGAAGTCGTCCCTTTGGACGAGTGCATCCTGTCTGAACTGCTGTCTGTTTCTGCTGTGTCGTCAGGAGTCTGGAGCCAGGGTCAGGTGACCAGAGCAACATGGAGTACACCAAACAGCTGCTGCTCAGCTGTCTGCTCAACATCTGCCACAAGCTGTCTCCTGATGGAGCGCCTGTGGCTCCAGGTCAGTCGGCAGAGAAAGAGTTAAACTTCACCTGCAGTCGTTGACCACTGACGGGATTTGACAGAATGTTGTGTAACATGTAGCCGCCGTCACAGCTGTAGTGATTTTGTGTTTTTTTTCTAGATGTTCTGGATGAAGATAAGTTCAGTGTGGAGCTGGTGGTTCAGTGTATCAGAGTGTCCAACATGCCACAGACTCACCACCACGCTCTGCTTCTGCTGGGCACCGTCGCCACCATCTTCCCTGTGAGTACTTCAGTATCACTGGATGAAAATCTTTGTGTGCTTCTAAACACACTGGGGGTGGGCCGGGGGTTATTGGGTTCATGTGCTGAGGTTTTCTCCTTTGTTTAGCTTCTTTCTACTGTGCTTGTGAAGAGATGCAAGTGATTAATTTAGAGAAGAGGCTGCGAGAAAAGGAGCTGAGGCTGTCCATGGAAGAGGAGCGCCCATAGTATGGTCTCACTCTGATGACCCCCCCACCCGTAACTAGTCCCATCTTCATGCCATCCTTCAGTATGTGAGGGGTTCTTCATCATGTTCTGGTCCCATCAGAGCTGGATCAGTGTGGAGAAGCTGTAGTTTGTTCATATGTGAGCAACACAGGAAAATGCTGGAAGTCCAGGTTTATGTGTAGAGCAAAGATTTAGAAATGGACAAATGTACTGAAGTATATTACAGACAGAAATAATCACTGACAGATAGATGTTTAGTTTGACACCAGATTCTGAAAGTATTTCAGGACAGGGCTCCAGGTCACAATGGAGGAGTCGGGAGAGGAGCCCAGACAGTTTCAGGTGTGACAGATAAAACCTGGACTGACATAGGTTTATTTTCCTGATTTGGGTCTTTTGAAACCGCACATCCTAACTGACCTGTACCTGACCTTAAAGTACTTCAAGAGAAATCAAAGTATGAACACTGATTGTGCAAACTGCTGACGAGCGTTAATCAAACCAGATATAATCCATCAGGGCTAGGATTGTAAATAATTAAGACCATAACACATCAGTGAAGCAGTTTGTTCACTGCCACACTCCTGACCTGAGCACCGGTGTGTCCTCCTCATCCTCCAGGAAAAAGTCCTGCACAACATCATGCCCATCTTCACGTTCATGGGAGCCAACATCATGCGTCTGGATGACGCCTACAGCTTCAGGGTGATCGACAAGACAGTTCAGATGGTCATACCTGCCCTGATCAAGGTGAGATTTTTACATCACAATTTATACTTTGTTTTCTGTGTTTATGCCATGAAATAAAATAATATAACTTGGCGTCAGTGTAGAATATGTTGTATATCTCCATTTTGAGCAGAAACAACACAGAGGAAAATCTCCTTGTCTCCTGTTCATGTTGTTTTCATTCTCCCCTGTGACTCTGCCCACCTCTCCATCTCTCCTCCTCCTCCTCAGGCCCACCAGCTCTCTGACATCACCTCTGCGGCTCACCTCGACGCTGTGGTGACGAGGATCGTGCACGTGTTTGCTGACGCACTGCCTCACGTGCCTGATCACCGACGGCTGCCCATCCTCACCCAGCTGGTGACCACACTGGGCCCCGCCCGCTTCCTCTGGGTCCTAATGCTGCTCCTGTTCAAGCTGCACGCCACACAGGCTGCCAGTTCTGTGACCGAGAAGGTGTGCTGTGTTTTCTGTGTTTGTCAAGTTATGGTGGCGAGGTTACTGTTCCAGCGTGCATGTCTTACTGCCCCACACTGTGCTGTTTGTGCAGCTGTTTGTCTCTTTGTCATCTGTTTCTGCTTTTCCTGGTTCAGTCAGTGTGCAGTAACTCAGCACAGTGCTGTATAATGTACACTGTATAATGTTTTTATAATCAGCTAAACCTTGTGATTATTTTCTTGAATATTAATTGTTTAGTCTATAAAATGTTGGAAAAATTTTAAAAATCATCATTGCGGTCTTCTAGAGCCTTGGGTGTTGTCTTCAGACATCTAGTTTCCTCTGGCCAGTGGCCCAAAACCAAGAGAAATTCAGTTTATCAGTGCAAGTCTTGGAAAATCAACAGAGTCACATTTCAGAAGCTGGAACCATTAAATATCTTTGTAGTTTAGCTTGAAAACAGATGAACAATTAAGCAGTTATTAAAATAGGTGCAAAATACTTTATATTTTTTTTGTTCAATCGACCAGTCAAATCTTATTTACTATATATTTTTATTGTTGTGTCGTTGTTGTTGTATTGCTCTGCATCCCCTTACTTTTACTTACCCTTACATAGATCTGAGTGTTCTGTCTTTTATTGCATGCATGCTCATTAACTACTGCAGCAGTTTGTTAAATGTTTTCTGGATAAGTGTGAAACAGCTATCCAGGGAGTGCAAATGAGCCACAGACTTGATGCCAACTCTGGTACGCTTACAGCTGTGTGTGTGTGTGTGTGTGTGTGTGTGTGTGTGTGTGTTACTGTGCTTTGTCCCTGTTAAATTAGCCAGAACATAAGTACAGTTGAAGGTGTTGTTTGGACTTGTTCCACTGAAACATGGCTCATGTTTCTGTGGGTGTGTGTGCAGGATGTAGCTCTGGAGAGAGACGTGGACTTCTGGATTTCCCTGTGCTGCCAGTTTGAGGTGGCCGACCAGCTCAGCTCCCTCATCAACATCCTGAAGTTCCTCCTGCAGCTGCCGGACGACAAAGACGACGGTGAGATGTCTGACACAAACATCTGTCTCAGTCCAATAGCAGGTAGGGAATGAAAACACGAGCTGAGGGGTGTTGTTTCATCAGTTAGACATGAATGTGACAAGGATTTCTGGAGTAGAAAAGGATAAGTGACAACAGAACACTTTTTATCTTGTGATCCTCAAACTGGACCTGAGCTCTCCCTTGGGTTCTTTTCTCCAAAACCATCTCTGATACATCAGGAGTTGATGCTGTTCCTGTCACTGATGCCGTTACTCCAGCACGTATCAACACAAAACTGTTTGTCAAGGATCAAAGCTAAAATCAGGAACCACTGATGCGCACCGTGGGATGGTGAAGTCATTATTTGAACTGAGGTTTTCATCCCTTACAAGCAGATATAAGCTCCTTTACCTGCCTGTATAAACTGAGAGAAACTACGGTGCCACCTGATCATTACAAAAACAGTCCAGACTAGAGAAGCAACTTAAAGAAAACAAACTTAAGAAAAAAACTACCAAAGGAAAATACCGGATAAATCTGATCTAAATTAAGCACAGTAATATTCAAAACAAATACTAAGAATTAGTGAAACTAACAAAATAACAAATAGCTCCTATAAAACCTTCTCACTGACCTTGAGGACTGTAAAGTAACAACAGTTGGTGCCTGTTAAAACACACCGTGCACATTTTCTGACCGGTTCATCTCAATGTAAACTCCACTGTTTCAATCTCCTAACTGCTGATGAGAACTGGTCATCAGCAGGTTGGAATACGTTACCAGATGAATAACAACAATCACTGGGTCATGTCAGAAAAGCAGCGGTGTAAAGCAGCAGAACTTGAAGTAAAGCTCCCAGTATAAACTCAGAGATTTGGTTCAGGATGTTTCCGTGGTTTGCAGCTCCAGTGAAACGCTCTGTCGGTCGCCGAGGGGGCAAAAGGAAGGAGGAGGAGGAGAAGGTGGAGGATCTCATCTTCAGCCTGGAGGCTCACAGCAGCAAAGAGCTGCGACACTTCAAGTTCCTCTGCGTGTCCTTCATGGCTCAGCTGCTCGGCTCGGCCAGCTTCATCGAGAAGGTGGGTGATGCCTCCGTTCACAACACACGGCCCAGCAGCTGCGTTCGTTTGGAAACAACCTCAGAAATAAAAATTAGGGAGACTATAATTTAAGAAAAATGAACAACAATAAAATGTTTGACCATGTGTTTCAGATTGCAGATGGCAGCGACGTTGGGGATGAATCTCTTCAGCAGCTGCAGCAGAAGTGAGTTTGTTCAGGCAGGTAATGAAAGAAAATGTCTTAAACTTCACACAATGGCTGAAGAGTGGCTGTTTGTTGCAGGTTGCTGGAGGAGATCCTGTGCTACCTCCACAGCGTGGCTCGCTGTGTGGAGGAGAACGCAGACAAGCCCACCACCAAGTTCTGGAGGGTTCTGCTCAGTAAGGCCTACGATGTTCTAGATAAGGTTGGTGTTTGTACTTTTCACAGTAACATTTAGCTCAACTGACTGCTGCTTTCTAATTAAAGTAACTACTAATACTGCTGTTATGTGAGCTGTATGCCTTCACCTGCTGCTCCACAAGGCCGGTGACTTTCTCTATTTGGGTTGTTTTGTACAAATCTCATCTAGAGATTAAAGTCAACTATGAATTTAAAGGTACAGATTATGCAACTTTTAAAATAATGTCTGATGATAGTGTAATTTCCTTAAAGGTTTGAGCCAAAATACAGATGGACAGAAGCTGAATTGTCTTGGTAGTTGATAAAACAAAGCAGAGCCTGTAACATGTAAACATTAAAGCATGTTGGGCAGAAACCAGGTGTTAGAGCAGCAAACTGATCAGTAAGATTTATCTTCAGATTTATTGCTGTAAATGGTCAAACGCAGCAGTAGATGTTTTTGATTATTGTAATTAAGATGATTCAACCGGATATTTTTGATTACTGTTGGTGCACCTTTTACCTTTGATAGTGTGTAGCAGTCAGAAAAGAATCAAACTGCGGACGTTTAATAGGAGGATGCTCCACTCTGATGCATTTTTATTAATGTTTCATCCTGAACATGAAACAGCCTCAGTGAGAAAGTTAGTGATGACAGTGACTCTCTCTCTCTCCTGCTTCCACTGAATGCGTCCTCACCTTTGCCCTCTATTGTGCAGGTGAACGCCTTGTTGCCCACAGACAACTTCATCACGGTGATGAGGGGACTGATGGGAAATCAGCTGGCATCAGTCAGAAGAAAGGCCATGGAGCTGCTGAACAACAAGCTACAGCACAGGACGCAGTGGGATGAGCAACAGGTGGCACAGTTTCCATGTAGCGTAGCATGAACAGTGATAAACAATGAAGTTTATTTCTAAGGCTTTCATCAGAACCAACAGTTAGTGTGCTTTCCAAAAGGTAAACTCGCCCATACACATTACAGTATGTAGACAGACAGCAGCAAAAAAAGGTCAGGGAACTGTTTGGAATGGCCTGGTTTTCTACATAAAGTGGTCGTGACATGATCAATCTTCATCTAAGTCCTGAGCACAGACAAACAAAACGTGCTGAAGATGATGCCACACAAACAGTTTTTCATGTCTATCATTATCAGTCATTAAACATTCAAAGTGCTGGTGGAAAACTAAACAAAGCCTTGGATTTAATAACTGGTGGCTATGACTCACAGGCCCATTTGTTTGATTGTCAACTTTTACTAATGTCAGTGTGATGCAGCTCCTCATCAGTGTTCCCCGTGTCTCTGTCCCAGGTCACCATGCTGCTACAGCTGGCTGGCGACCTGCTGAGCATTGTGCGTAAAGGTCACAATAAGGTCACGGAGGAGGTGGCGGACCAGGCCATCAACCGACAGACAGCGCTCTACAGCCTCAAGCTGCTCTGTCGCAGTTTTGGATCCGACCACCAGGAGGTGTTTGTCCCCATCCTGCTGCAGGCGGTGGAGATTGTCACATCGGCAGAGGAGGAGAAGAATGTGACAGGCAGCGCTCTGCTCTGCATCGCTGAGGTGGTCAGCACGCTCAAGGCGCTGGCCATCCCACAGCTCCCCAGGTCTGTATGTCACAGGAGGGAGACACGGGGTTTCCACCTTAAAGTCTTAACATATCCTAAATTTGATTGTGATGAGTCTTCAGAGTTATTGATCATATTTAGGTTAAGCTGATAATTTTAGCATTAAGTTGACGTTTACTTCTGTGAATTTTGTGGAAACGTTGAGGAGACACAGTAGCACTGCCTGTGTATTTATCACACTGTAATAAAACTACAAAACCTGACCCACCCGGAACTGCAGCATCTGCAGACTTTGCAGCCCGGTCAGATTTCATCAGAGAGCAGTGAGTGCGTGGTAACGCAACATCTTCCATCAGTGGTTGTTTGTGTCATTGATCTAATGTGGGGAAGTGAGCACTAATGCCAGCACGACCTGCCCTGTGGTGACTCCTGCAGCACTGCTAAGGGACCTCCTTGCAGCATCTGGGTCTACAGCAACGTTAACAACCGTACATCTTGTTCTGATATCAAGGACAGCGCAGTGGGTGTAACATGTGGTTCCAACAAGGCATTAGTTTGTCACGTGTGCATATCAGAGTTGAAAAAAGAGGTTTTGTGGACTTCACAATCTGTAGCTAAGTCCAAGAAGGAATTTCTTCATATTGAACTTACTCAGCTGAGTTTTCTTCATGTTCTTCACCCGTGTTGATGGGAAATGGGTCTTAATTTCGAAGTGCTTTAAAAAGTCTTGAACTTAGCTTGAGGCAACCTGCAGAACTTGGACTGGGTTTGCAATCACCTGGTTGACTTTCATGTGTTTGTTCTGCAGACTGATGCCGGCGGTTTTGCACACGTTGACCGACAGGAAGGAGCTTCTGACGAGTGAGATCTACTTGCTGAGCGCTGTCACTGCCCTACAGCGGGTCACTGAGACACTACCGCACTTCATCAGCCCCTACCTGCAGGACATCACCTCACAGGTACACCGGACTCAGTTTTTGTGCCACCAGAGAAAAATGGATATAAAACTAACGCACACTCAGCAGAAATGCGTGACGTAAGGGTGAAGATGTACTCTTAGAAATTGAGTAAGACAAACACTTCCTGGAGGAGGTGAAGAAACGGATCTGAGTTGGTATGTTTTCATGTGGAGAATTAAGCTGCTGCTCAGCAAGATGTCTGAACATGTCTGAGTGGGTTGAGATCCGCTTCAGAACACAGCAAAGAAAATGTGAACAGTGTTTTGGCTGCTGTGTGGCAGGACTACGGCCTGCTGCAGACCTGCCTGCCAGGACGCTCTGCTCAAATCCAAACATGGCGGTTTTCTCACAGTAAAACTGTTTTAAAACGTAAAATGAAACTAGACTAACATTCAGGCTCCCTCTTGGCTCCGACAGTGTTCTCTGCGGTGACTGTGTGATGCTACCTCTGCTCGGGCCCATTAAGATCCAGCCAACACTCAACCCAGTTAGACCAAGTAGAAACCTCCTGGGCTCTGGTCCCAAGTCAAGTCTCGGTTCCTCAGAACCAGGCTGAATAGCTTCCGTCCCAGGTTCATGTGTGTAGCCACCCACTTCTTGTTCCTGCAGGTTTGTCGGCTGACTCGGCTGGTGGAGACCTCCTGTTCTTCCTCCTCCTCCTCATTTGCCCAGCTGTCAGCATGCCTCACCTCCTTGAGAGGCACCCTTGCCACCAAGCTGCCCCCCCATGGTCCTCCTACCTACCCTCACCAGATGTTACAGCAGCATAGTTGTCGACAGGAAGGTGAGGACCTGCTGGGACGAGCGATGATCTCTAGTGATGTGACGTTCCGTATCGAGGCTTCGAAGCGTGTGCCGAGTAGGGGAGGGGGCGTTTCCGCGATGCGCGTATCGAGGCTTTCGTCGTTTAGGGGAGGAGCTGGAAATGATGACGTCCGAAGCCTCGCTGCCCGGCTGTACCACGTGACTGATTCAGGACGTGGTTCGGAGTTTGCCGCGAGTTTTGACAGCGATATAAACCCCTCAGGCTCCATTCAAAATGTGGGTGTTTGATGGAGAGTTGTGGTCAGTGAGAGTTTGGAGACAGTTTGGATAGAGTTAGAGATACATAGTTTGGATAGAGTTAGAGATAGTTTGGATAGAGTTAGAGATAGTTTGGAGAGAGGTAGAGATAGTTTGGAGAGAGGTAGAGATAGTTTGGAGAGAGGTAGAGATAATTTGGAGAGAGTTTGGAGATTTAGGAGAGTGAGGAGAGAGAGTCAGGAGAGAATGGAGCCAGCTAAGAAGAGGAGGATGTCCCCTGTGTGGGAACATTTTGATCTCATTCCTCCCAACAAGGTATGTACAGTAATATTTCTACAGAAGATTTTTTTT